TCAATCCTGCGGCAGGCAGGTTAAAGAATTCCTGTGTCCCTCAAGGGAGGAGGGGCAGGGCAGGAGGAGCTGGGTCAGCACTGACACTAATAATAGAGAAAAGGAGGGGCTATGACAAGAAGGGGGCGGAGTCAGGGAATAGTAGACATTAAATGGAGGAAAATCACAGAAATAACAAGAGCTCGTCTGTAATGTTTCCATGTTATCACTCACTGCCGGTCCGCTGCGACACTTATCACATGACATTCGGTGTGATCACATGATCCGCCATGCTGGGAGGTGACGTTATCAGGACCTGTCGGGTGAGGGAATATCCGAGCACTCACTATACAGGAAGACTCTGTCCCCGCCCACTTTCAGCCCCGCCCCTTCCTACGACAACGTCTAACGTAAGATAAGGCGGCCATTTTGGCGGAGTCCGCTCCGGTCTCCGGGAAGATGGCGGCTATCCGACCGGAAGTAAACTGCACAGACCAGACACGAGCGGAAGCAGCACGCGAGCTACACATGTGTGAGGAGCCGGGAAGATGAAGTATTCCTATAAGGTGAGAAGATACAATGTTACCCCGAGAATAGAACCCCCTCAGCCTGAATATACAATGTATACCGGTCATAGGTCAGTAGGAGGTATATACAATGTATACCGGTCATAGGTCAGTGGGTGGTATATACAATGTATACAGGGAGGTCAGTAGGAGGTATATACAATGTATACAGGTCAGAGGTCAGTAGGAGGTATATACAATGTATACCGGTCATAGGTCAGTAGGAGGTATATACAATGTATACCGGTCATAGGTCAGTAGGAGGTATATACAATGTATACAGGTCAGAGGTCAGTAGGAGGTATATACAATGCATACAGAGAGGTCAGTGGGTGGTATATATAATGTATACAGGGAGGTCAGTAGGAGGTATATACAATGTATACCGGGAGGTCAGTAGGTGGTATATACAATGTATACAGGGAGGTCAGTAAGTGGTATATACAATGTATACAGGGAGGTCAGTAGGTGGTATATACAATGTATACAGGGAGGTCAGTAAGTGGTATATACAATGTATACAGGGAGGTCAGTAAGTGGTATATACAATGTATACAGGGAGGTCAGTAAGTGGTATATACAATGTATACAGGGAGGTCAGTAAGTGGTATATACAATGTATACAGGGAGGTCAGTAAGTGGTATATACAATGTATACAGGGAGGTCAGTAAGTGGTATATACAATGTATACAGGGAGGTCAGTAAGTGGTATATACAATGTATACAGGGAGGTCAGTAAGTGGTATATACAATGTATACAGGGAGGTCAGTAAGTGGTATATACAATGTATACAGGGAGGTCAGTAAGTGGTATATACAATGTATACAGGGAGGTCAGTAAGTGGTATATACAATGTATACAGGGAGGTCAGTAAGTGGTATATACAATGTATACAGGGAGGTCAGTAAGTGGTATATACAATGTATACAGGGAGGTCAGTAAGTGGTATATACAATGTATACAGGGAGGTCAGTAAGTGGTATATACAATGTATACAGGGAGGTCAGTAAGTGGTATATACAATGTATACAGGGAGGTCAGTAAGTGGTATATACAATGTATACAGGGAGGTCAGTAAGTGGTATATACAATGTATACAGGGAGGTCAGTAAGTGGTATATACAATGTATACAGGGAGGTCAGTAAGTGGTATATACAATGTATACAGGGAGGTCAGTAAGTGGTATATACAATGTATACAGGGAGGTCAGTAAGTGGTATATACAATGTATACAGGGAGGTCAGTAAGTGGTATATACAATGTATACAGGGAGGTCAGTAAGTGGTATATACAATGTATACAGGGAGGTCAGTAAGTGGTATATACAATGTATACAGGGAGGTCAGTAAGTGGTATATACAATGTATACAGGGAGGTCAGTAAGTGGTATATACAATGTATACAGGGAGGTCAGTAAGTGGTATATACAATGTATACAGGGAGGTCAGTAAGTGGTATATACAATGTATACAGGGAGGTCAGTAAGTGGTATATACAATGTATACAGGGAGGTCAGTAAGTGGTATATACAATGTATACAGGGAGGTCAGTAAGTGGTATATACAATGTATACAGGGAGGTCAGTAAGTGGTATATACAATGTATACAGGGAGGTCAGTAAGTGGTATATACAATGTATACAGGGAGGTCAGTAAGTGGTATATACAATGTATACAGGGAGGTCAGTAAGTGGTATATACAATGTATACAGGGAGGTCAGTAAGTGGTATATACAATGTATACAGGGAGGTCAGTAAGTGGTATATACAATGTATACAGGGAGGTCAGTAAGTGGTATATACAATGTATACAGGGAGGTCAGTAAGTGGTATATACAATGTATACAGGGAGGTCAGTAAGTGGTATATACAATGTATACAGGGAGGTCAGTAAGTGGTATATACAATGTATACAGGGAGGTCAGTAAGTGGTATATACAATGTATACAGGGAGGTCAGTAAGTGGTATATACAATGTATACAGGGAGGTCAGTAAGTGGTATATACAATGTATACAGGGAGGTCAGTAAGTGGTATATACAATGTATACAGGGAGGTCAGTAAGTGGTATATACAATGTATACAGGGAGGTCAGTAAGTGGTATATACAATGTATACAGGGAGGTCAGTAAGTGGTATATACAATGTATACAGGGAGGTCAGTAAGTGGTATATACAATGTATACAGGGAGGTCAGTAAGTGGTATATACAATGTATACAGGGAGGTCAGTAAGTGGTATATACAATGTATACAGGGAGGTCAGTAAGTGGTATATACAATGTATACAGGGAGGTCAGTAAGTGGTATATACAATGTATACAGGGAGGTCAGTAAGTGGTATATACAATGTATACAGGGAGGTCAGTAAGTGGTATATACAATGTATACAGGGAGGTCAGTAAGTGGTATATACAATGTATACAGGGAGGTCAGTAAGTGGTATATACAATGTATACAGGGAGGTCAGTAAGTGGTATATACAATGTATACAGGGAGGTCAGTAAGTGGTATATACAATGTATACAGGGAGGTCAGTAAGTGGTATATACAATGTATACAGGGAGGTCAGTAAGTGGTATATACAATGTATACAGGGAGGTCAGTAAGTGGTATATACAATGTATACAGGGAGGTCAGTAAGTGGTATATACAATGTATACAGGGAGGTCAGTAAGTGGTATATACAATGTATACAGGGAGGTCAGTAAGTGGTATATACAATGTATACAGGGAGGTCAGTAAGTGGTATATACAATGTATACAGGGAGGTCAGTAAGTGGTATATACAATGTATACAGGGAGGTCAGTAAGTGGTATATACAATGTATACAGGGAGGTCAGTAAGTGGTATATACAATGTATACAGGGAGGTCAGTAAGTGGTATATACAATGTATACAGGGAGGTCAGTAAGTGGTATATACAATGTATACAGGGAGGTCAGTAAGTGGTATATACAATGTATACAGGGAGGTCAGTAAGTGGTATATACAATGTATACAGGGAGGTCAGTAAGTGGTATATACAATGTATACAGGGAGGTCAGTAAGTGGTATATACAATGTATACAGGGAGGTCAGTAAGTGGTATATACAATGTATACAGGGAGGTCAGTAAGTGGTATATACAATGTATACAGGGAGGTCAGTAAGTGGTATATACAATGTATACAGGGAGGTCAGTAAGTGGTATATACAATGTATACAGGGAGGTCAGTAAGTGGTATATACAATGTATACAGGGAGGTCAGTAAGTGGTATATACAATGTATACAGGGAGGTCAGTAAGTGGTATATACAATGTATACAGGGAGGTCAGTAAGTGGTATATACAATGTATACAGGGAGGTCAGTAAGTGGTATATACAATGTATACAGGGAGGTCAGTAAGTGGTATATACAATGTATACAGGGAGGTCAGTAAGTGGTATATACAATGTATACAGGGAGGTCAGTAAGTGGTATATACAATGTATACAGGGAGGTCAGTAAGTGGTATATACAATGTATACAGGGAGGTCAGTAAGTGGTATATACAATGTATACAGGGAGGTCAGTAAGTGGTATATACAATGTATACAGGGAGGTCAGTAAGTGGTATATACAATGTATACAGGGAGGTCAGTAAGTGGTATATACAATGTATACAGGGAGGTCAGTAAGTGGTATATACAATGTATACAGGGAGGTCAGTAGGAGGTATATACAATGTATACCGGTCATAGGTCAGTAGGAGGTATATACAATGTATACAGGAGGTCAGTAGGAGGTATATACAATGTATGCGGATCATGTCCCCTCTCGGGGGTCCTGAGTCCGTGTGTCTTCCTAGGTGGGAGGAGTCAGTGGGCGGAGTTTGGCACATAGCCCCACCCACTGCCTGCCCACCCGCCATCTGACCACTCCCCCTCTCTCTGCAGTTCAGTAACCTGTTGGGGACTTTCTATCGCCGCGGGAACCTCACCTTCACCCCGGACGGCAATTCCCTCCTCAGCCCCGTGGGCAATCGCCTGAGTGTCTTCCATCTCAAGAAGTAAGTGATGTGGGGGAGGGGTCTGTACAGGGGTGACAACAGGGAACACGACCCTCATTCGGGTGGTCACCCCATCACCCACAGGGCCCCCCCTTGTCCTGGGGGCGGGGTTTCAGGTAACTGATGATGTATCTGTGATCTCTCCCCAGTAACAAGGCGGAGACTTTACCTCTGGCCTCCCGCTGTAACCTCTCCTGCGTGGCCCTGTCCCCAGACGGCTCTCTGGCAATCCTGGTAGATGAAGGTAATTCCATATCCTGTCCCCTCTCTAATCCTTCCCCCGGAGGTTCATATTACCCATCATCCCCCTCTCTGATCTCTCCACAGAGGGCTCCGCACTCCTCATCAGCCTCCTCACCAAGTCCGTCCTCAATCACTTCAACTTCCAGCAGCCAATCAA